ACCCGCAGTGGGGTGTGGGACCCCCCAAACCATCCCTGCTCTCCTGGACCCCCAAACCCATCCCTGCTGGACGCCTAAACCATCCTGAAACCACAAACCATCCTGAACCCCCAAACCATCCTGAAACCCCAAACCATCCTGAACCCCCAAACCATCCCTGCTCTCCTGGACCCCCAAACCCGTCCCTGCTCTCCTGAACCCCCCCTGCTCTCCTGCAGCCCCCCAGGTGTCTCCCAGCAGCGAGGATGGGGTGGCTGCCGAGGGATCTGTCACAGGAGGACCTGTCCCCGGGGGATGTGTCACCGAGGGATCTGTCCCCGGGGGATGTGTCACCGAGGCGGAGCTGAAGCGGCTGCCCGAGTTCAACCCCCCTTCGTTCATGCCCTTTGGGAACGTGGGCACCCCCCTGGGCGTGTTCCTGGAGCTGATCCGTGCCTGCCGCCTGCCCCCCCGCCTCATCAAGAAGCTGCAGCTGGATTTCCCCAGGACTGGCTCATCCCGCAGGTATGGGAACGTGCCCTTCCAGTACCAGGGCACCGAGACAGTGGCTGAGGAAGGAGGAGTTTACACGGCTGCAGGGGATGAGATCACCGAGGGAGAGGAGCCCGTGGGGCTGACTCAGCCAGCCCAGCCCCAGGACCATGAGGAGGGGCAGCAGAAGGAGGAAGAGGAGTCGAGCTCGGGCGATGTAAGTGGAATATTCTAGCACCATCCAGGCTCAGCTGTTGGAGCTGTGAGGGCAGGTCCCACTCCCAGAGCTCATTTTTAACCTCTCAGTTGGATAAATGGCTTGTTAAAAGCAGTTTTAAATGAGATTGTTCACCACAGGGGGGCCTGGAGCCCCAGAACTGCTCAGGGTGGTCGTAGGGGTGGATCCCAAAGGGTCTGATCTGAGGGGGAGCAGAGGGGAGGCTGGTGCTGCCCAGCAGACCCTGCCCTGCTGCCTGGCACGTGGGCACAGCTGAGGTGACAGAGCTTGGGGACCCCATTTGTGTGCTGGGAGCTGTTACAGAACTTGGGGACCCCGTTTGTGTGCTGGGAGTGACGTGCAGAGCTGCACAAAGGGCTGACCTCGCACGCTCCTGCCCTGGAGTTTAGTCACTCTGAGGAAAATGGCTTTTGTGACAAAGGCTCCTGGAGAGCTGGGCAGGGCAGGAGCCATCCCACCCCTGTCCCTGGCAGACGCCTGTCTGGCCTGTTGTCCCAAACCTGTGTCATTACACATCCCCAGGCAAGCCATTCCCGTTGTTTCTTCCACCACAATGCACTCAGATGCCAAACCCCTGCTGCAATTCCACCCCATTTGTTTCTCCTGGCAACACGGGGCACAGAGAGCGCTTTGTTCCCTCCTTTTCCAGCTTTTTATTCAGTCTTTTCTTCTCCAGACTAACCAGACTACTTCAGCTGCTTCTCCCAGGCTGTTTCCTGGCTGTTCTGGGCTGGTTAATGGCTGTGCCCAGCTCTGTGCCAGGGAGCTGCTCCTGGGAGCCCACGCAATCTCCCCAGGGATCAGCTGCAGTGGAATTAATTCCTCGCTAGTGCTGACTCCAGCTCCAGCCCTGCTGCTCCTTAAATGGGCATCAGTGCAGGGCAGGTGGGGCCCGTGGGGTGGGTGTGCTGTGGGATTTCTCCTGCTGACTCTGGCAGTGGCGTTAGTCAGGGCTGAGCTCATCCCTCGTGTCGGGGCCTGAGTGCCCGGCCCGGCTCTGCCACGGAGCTGCTGAGGGACGGTCCTGGGAACGGCCAGCGGGCGGGGAGGGACCTGCTGGGGCCCCCAGACCTTGTAGGACAGTGACACCTGTGGGGAGGGACCTGCTGGAGCCCCCAGTGACACCTGTGGGGAGGGACCTGCTGGAGCCCCCAGTGACACCTGTGGGGAGGGACCGTGCTGGTGGCCCCAGCTCTGTCCCAAAGGTCCTTGCAGGACAATGACACGTGTGAGGAGTGGCTGTGCTGGTGGCCCCAGCTCCATGCAGCTGTCCTTGCAGGACGATGACACGTGTGAGGAGTGGCAGCGGCACGAGGCGCTGCACGAGGACGTGACGCAGCAGGAGCGGGCGCGGGAGCGGCTCTTCGAGGAGGAGATCGAGCTCAAGTGGGAGAAGGGCGGCTCTGGCCTCGTGTTCTACACGGATGCCCAGTTCTGGCAGGAGCAGGACGGAGGTGACCTTGGTGTTTGTGTCACTGAGCTTCAACGGGTCGGGTCAACTGGAGCCACCAACACCCTGCCATGGCTTCTGAGCCTTCCCTTGGGCACAGAGGGGGTCACCAGGGACCCCCCAGGGACCCCCCAGAGACTCCTGTGGTGCTGCTGGCAGCCTCTTGGGTGGGCAGTGGCATCGGGGGAGTCTCTAATGCCATTTCCTCTGTGCTGCTGCTGAGGCACCACCTTGAGTGCTGCATCCAGCGCTGCAGCAGAGATATGGAGGGGCTGGGGAGTGCCCAGGGCAGCGGCTGGAGCTGGGAAGGGGCTGGAGAATTCCTGAGGGAGCTGGGAAGGGGCTGGAGAATTCCTGAGGGAGCTGGGAAGGGGCTGAGCCTGGAGCAAAGGAGGCTCAAGGGGAATTTCTGGCTCTGCACAAGTCCCTGGCAGGAGGGGACAGCCAGGGGGGTCGGGCTCTGCTCCCAGGAACAAGGACAGGAGGAGAGGGAACGGCCTCAAGCTGGGCCAGGGGAGGCTCAGGGGGGACAGCAGCAGGAATTTCCCCATGGAAAGGGGATCAGACCCAGGGAGGGGTGGAGTCCCCATGGCTGGAGGTGTCCAGGGAAGGACTGGACGTGGCACTCAGTGTCCTGGGCTGGTGACAAGGTCACGGTTGGACTGAATGGAGATCTCCAGCCTCAATGATTCTGTGATTCCTTCCCATTTTGTTGGAGAAAAGAGGGAGCTGGGCCACCAGCAGAGCTCCCCTGTGCCAGACCTCACCCAAAGTGCTGCTTCCCTTCTCTTGGCAGACTTTGACGAGCAGACAGCCGATGACTGGGACGTGGACATGAGCATCTACTACGACAAAGGTATCAGAGCTGAGCCACCCCACCCCAGGGAAACCAGGGAAATTCTGACCATGCAGAACCTGGGAGCTCTTTGCTGTTCTTTGAAAGCATCCAAGCTGTCAGTGAACCTGAAACAACAAGGTTTTTCTGGTCTGGCAGCAAGGCTTGCCAAAAAGAACAGGTTCTGCCTCCTCTGCTGGCGCTCTGGGGGAAATGGTGGTGGTGAGCAGGCTCCTGAGCTGTGCTGACTCTGGCTGCTCTCTCCCCAGATGGGGGGGATAAGGACGCCCGGGACTCGGTGCAGATGTGGCTGGAGCAGCGGCTGCGGGATGGGCTGGAGGATGGCTCAGTGGCAGGGCAGCACGTCGGCTCCTTCGAGAGACACACCAAGGTGAGCTCTGGTGCCTGCTCAGGGCAGGGCAGCAAGGGCTGAGCCAGGGTGATGCCCACAGGATGTGGGTGAGGAGGTGGAGAGGTCTGTGGGAAGAGGGCAGAAGGCTCTGGGAAGATGAGCTCTTGTTCAGCAAGCGTGTGATGGTTTTTTTCCCTCTGCCAGGGCTTTGGCAGGAAGGTCCTGGAGCAGCAGGGCTGGACAGAGGGGCTGGGCCTGGGGAGCAGCAACTCTGGGATGGCCGAAGCTCTGGATAACGAGGGGCAGAACCCCCGGTGCAAGAGAGGGCTGGGGTGAGTACCCAAGAGCCCTCCCAGCCCCTGTCCCCAGGGCTCACAGCAGCTGAGAGGTGCAAAGGGAGCTGTGTGGGGTCAGGGCTGTGCCAGGGACCTTTCCCTGCCCAGCTGGGGAATCCCACAGCACTCCATAGCCAAACACGCTGCTCTTCCCGACAGTCCCGGGCTCCTCAGCGGAGCAGGGCTGGCACCACGTGCAGGGGGTGGAACTTTAGGATCCCTTCCAACACAAACCAGTCCGGGAAACGAGCTGGGAAGCACAGGGATGTCTGATGGCCCCTCCAACCAAACCTTTCCTGTTTCCCTCCAGCTACCACGGGGAGAAGCTGCCAACTTTTATCAGGAGGAAGAAGCCCCGTGGGGACAGTTCTGTTGTCATCTCCACCATCTACGATGACCCTGAGCCCCAGGACATGGGTGACCAGCTGCTGCGGCGCCAGCCCCCCACGGCCATGAAGTACAGACAGGACATGGCCTTTGTCCGAGCGTCCCACCCCGCCCTGGGCAGCCTCAGAGCCCAGCCACGCTGAGCACAGCCTTTGTCCTGCTCCCCAGTCCAGGCTGGCTCCTGGCCTCAGTGTGAAGCAGGGCCTTTATATATTTATTTTTAGTAAAAATACAGATTTGTAACAAAAGCTACCACAGTGGGTTTTTTTCCCCCACTAACCGAGCCCTTCAGATGAAGGGAAATGGTGTTCTGTGTGAATGGGGAAGGATTTTGTGGGGTTGAAACTTACATTCGTGCTGGGATCAAGCCACGTGTGTGTTTAGTGAGGATGAAAAAGCAGAATTCGCAGTTGAGGGCAGCCTGAGAGCCAGGAAAGGACAAATACAGACAGGGCACGGTAACTGTCCTGCTGCTCGGGCGTGGCCGTCCCACGCTGCTGGGGAAGCTGCTGGGGATGAAAGGCTGGTCCTGGCAGCCTGCGGAGGAATTCTCGGGAGGCCCTGGGGTTGTGGGTAGCAGTGCTTTCCAGGCTGCTCTGCCCCGCTCTCCTGGCCCAGGCAGAGGGGAGAGCTCTGTGCTGCAGGGCTGACTGTGACTCCCTTAAGGGGTGCAGGGGGAAAATGCGGGGAGCAATTCCTCCTCCTACCTGCCAGGAGGGTGCAGCCAGGTGGGAGCCAGGCTCTTCTCCTCAGTCAGTGGCAAGACAAAGGGACATAGTGTTAAACTGCTCCAGGAAGGTTTAGGGTGGACATTATGAAGAATTTCTTCACAGAAAGGGGGATTAGACATTGGGAACGAGTTGCTGTCCCCCGAGGTGTTTAAAGAAAGAACTGGGCGTGGCACTCAGTGCCATGGTGGTGTTTAGAGGTAGGGCTCGATGGACTCAGGGGCCTTTTCCAATCCAGTCGATTCTGTGGTTTGGAAAAAGCGGGGCTGGGGCTACGCTGGAGGGACAAGAGCCGGCCCCGGGACTCGAACCCGCGACCCTGCCCGGACTCGGAGCCCCGGGCTCGAGTCCGCCAGGCCGCCAGGGGGCGCTGTGG